GCTCTATTACTGCCTTTTCTCCTTTTGTATACTTATTTGTGTCTTGTTTTCTCCCTCCCTGGCCTCCCACCCTTTTTCTCCCTCCATCTCTCTCTTTTCCAGCTCTTTCTCTCCTTTCATCGCTTGGCCACCCTCCTGCCTCTGTCTCCCACACTTCCCCTCTCTCCATCTCCCCCTCTCTTTCTCTAGTACTGCCTCAGCATACTAAACAGAAGTTCTCTGATTACTTTTCTTCCTGAGAAACGTTGGATACAACTCTGAGGTTCGCTGCCACTGCCTTCGCCCGTTGCCATGACTACAGCTTCAGCGCTTAGCTTTATTGAGGAGGGGTGAAAGGAAGGAGGAGGAGGAGGACGAGGGGGGAGATTGCTGTGTGTCGTCACACAGAGATAGTACAAAAGAAAGCCACAGAGAAGAGCCTCATCTTTTTCTTTTTTTTTGTCTTTAATTTGATGCCTTATACAACTAGTTATTCCAAATTTAATCTCAACAGTGTTCAGAAAAAGACCAATGAAAAGTTAATTTCAGAATACAGATTGATTGTGGCCATGTGGATCTTGTATTTTTTGACCTTTTTAACATTGTGGCTTCGCTCTGGGGTCATGAAATGTTTTCTACATGTGAGGAAACTAAGCAAAACAATAAAATAGAAGCAAAAGGGAATATTTACTGTAGTTAAAGTCTATTTCTAATTATAAGAAAGGGAAACATATAATTGGAATTTTCTAATATTGCCACTGTTATGTATTGCCTATTAATTTATATAATTTTTTATAAAAAAAGTTTTTTTCCAGACTAATATAAAGACACGCTTTTAGATAACAAATAAAATGCATCAATTACTGAACTTTACATCAAATTGCTTATGGATCATTGTTGTCTTTCCAAATGTTACTGTTAAGGTAATTATTTATCCAAAATAGAGACTTTTCTTGTCATTTCACAGTTGCTCCTTCCCTCTTTCTCCCTCCTCTGGGTTCTCTGTCACCGTCACTCATGTCAGTTTGTCACAGTGGACGGGAGAAAGACCAGGAAAAATGGACAGTCACTATCAATCAATCAATATGATTTATTAGATTTTGGCCTTTTGGAAAGGTGACAGATTGATGTACACAAGGGGACAAAAAAAACACACATACACAGTCTCAGCTGTCTGTTGTAACCCTGAGTTATCTTGACACTCATAGTAAAGCTGCTAAATGTCCCTGCAACACACACACATACACAAACACACTCATAAACACACATAAAATGTGAACTAGCATATCTTTTTTCATAATTTCCTCTCCTTTTTCTTTTTGAAGAGCAGTACTTTGCACACCACCCTGAGATGGGCACAGACCTGCGCTTCCTGCAGTGTGAATATATCTGTTGTACGCAGGGCTGTATACATGTTTGGTGAGCCTCTGTGCCTCTGTATACATGTTTGGTGAGCCTCATGTTTGGTGAGCCTCTGTATTATGTACATACGGATTATATCAGGATCAAAATATTATCTTATTATGCTCTGGGTTGGAGTTTGATCGACACAAGTACCACAAATAATATGTTGAGACTATTTTAGGACTAATTAGACTATATGCTGTGTTTCATGGTATACATTTTTTTTTTCTTCGTTTATTTTTTTAAATATTTTTTAAAAGAGGTTTAATAGACCTTGGATGTGAATTTTACTGTCACAAATTAAGCATTTTCAAGCAACAGATTTTACAGATTTTACAAAGAAACTGTAGATTCAACTGCCTCCAGGTTCATATTTAATATTTAATCGGCAAAATAAGTACTGTCAATGAAAATATAACCCTTCCTTATCTTATGTATTAGAGTTTGTTTGAGATGGTGTGCTAATATAACAAGCTTTGTTTAAAGACTATATAATATGTAAAATTTGATATGCATAATGTTTCAAAACCTTGAATGTCATTACCCTGCCATTCAAAAACCATCACATATCATCAATATAGCTTCTTTTTAGAGTTTCTAATTTTATTCTCGTAACTTTAAATAATAGTTTTCATCAGTAGAGCGTATTCAAATGTATGGGTGGCTGTCATGTAGCTATTTGATTGGCAGATCCCTGGTGAACAGCAGACTCTACAATGAACACCTGCTTAATAAAAGACTTGCGAATAAATTATATAAAAAAAAAAACCTTTATAACAACTGGTGTATATTGGCTTTCTGTGGGAGAAAATGCTGCAATTATCCAAACAAACAGCTCTTATTTTGCACGCAGTACCCGGTACGACCTAACAAAGCATGCTACTTATCTTCCCTCCCCTTGAGTTGATTTAATTATATACAGCATGGCACCACAGCGAGCCACACACAGCTAGCCTACATGTATGTTTAATTTAACAGTATTTCACTCAGTTAAGTTGACCTTCCACAGCAAGCTTCTGACTGTAACTCTGCCAGAGTCCGTCAGTCATGCCCATGCAGGGGAGGAGCAGAGAGGGACCCATGCAGCAGGGAGAAGGGAGGCTAAAAGAAGGGCCAGAAAAGATATCGACACATACACCTACCCTGTAGTAGTCAGTGCTGTAGACATCTCTGGACATGCCAAAGTCCCCAATCTTTACCAGCAGGTTCTCACCCACCAGGCAGTTCCTGTTAAACAACAAAAAAACAACAAAGAACAATAACAGGAAGATGTTGTTGTGAGTTTAAATAAAGATGTTTTACATAGCTTGAGTTACAGTGTGTGTTGTTAAACCCTCTGTCATTAAATTTATTATATAAGAAATTGCGCTCTAATTGTATTGTATTTAAGGCAACAGCAAGTATTTCTGAAAATATATATATGATAAACATCCACTGACAGAAAAGAGAAGCTTTTATTTAAGTAATTATTTAAGAAAGTTACATTTTAAAAATGTATTATTATGGTTCATATTTCTGGAACGGTATATGTCCAGTTTTACATATGTTTTTCTTATTTTGTTGTTTCATTACATTAGAATCAGTCACTCATTGTTAAAATCACTCAATCACAGATCATACATATCTGCTGAATGTCTACTCATGTTTTCTTTACTGGCTACTCGAATGGGTGTTTTGCCTCCTTTAGGTGCTATTTGCCATATATAGACTGTATACTAACATTTATCAAGCTTGCCTATGACCAAATTATTACATTTATCGAGCGTAGTGTAGCCACATACCAATTATCACCATTCTGAAGGACGACCAAAGAAAACACAATTCATTAACAGGTGTTGCAGTGTTTTCAGTTATTGGGTATTTCATAAATCGTAAAACGGTCTGAACACATTTCCCTGTATAATGCCATGCTCATTAAAGCCGCACAAATAAATACAGTGTAGTAACAGAGCAAGTGACAAACCTGGTGGCCAGGTCGCGGTGCACAAAGTGCTGTGATGCCAGGTAAACCATGCCAGATGCTATCTGCTGAGCGATGTGCAGCATCTGAGATTGGGTCAGCTCCACAGGTCTGGTGGTCTGGCCCTCTGCCATCAGAACTGCATCTGGACCGTGAGCCCTGTGAGGGAACAGGTGTTTGGTTATTGTTTGTTGGAGTCATGTTGTTTCCTGTGCAGCGTTGCTACCTATCAGCCTTGTATCAACAGAGCAGAGGAGGCTGCTACTGTGCAAACCGCTTTGTCCATTGATCCCTATGCTTTTAGAGACATTTTTTCATCAGATTTCTATGTAGCAAAGAAAAGAGCCATACCTGAGGAACTTGTTGAGGTCTCCATGTTTCATGTACTCAAACACCATGATGAGAGGGTCACTCTCCACGCAGACTCCATAGAAAGTGACAATGTGCTCATGTTGAAGGTTGGTCAGCAGCTCAGCCTCACGGTGGAAATCCTTCCTGGCATTTTCACTGGCCTCTTTAAGTGTCTGCACACACACACACACA